ACTCAGCAGTGATCCCTCACACAGAAATGTCGAGCTGCTCTGTACATTATGTCCGTTGTTTCATCACAGGCTCCAGAGCAAGATATGAATGTCTCGTAGAGTCCTACAATGATGTTTCAATACTTTGTGCTTTGTTAGTTTTCCACAGGCCTTCCTCATTCCATCATGTTTTTGTGATTCTGACATCGATTTCATAAATCAGAGGTTGCTCTTCCATTCATATTTTTGAATTCATCACTGTAACAAATGTTATCACGGCCACTGTGAATAAAATATCAAAGTAATGAAAACGTGCTGAACCAAAAGCTTCCCCTGTGTTTCTTGAAGTGAGTTCATGCTGAATTTTGAGGGTTCTGCCTTGGATCATTCCATCCCTCCCTCTATCGGTCCACATTTCCTGTGGCACTGGCTGGTACGAGACCCCGAAGCAGAATATTTCCACCCCCACATTGAACAGTCAGCACACTGTTCTTGTCATCAAACACGGCTGCTGTTTTTTTTTTTTTTTTTTTTTTTTCAAACACATCTTTGCTGATTTTCAGTCAGAAAGCTCAATTTTAACCTCATCTGTCCACGGAACTTGTTTGTACAACATTTCCTCTCATCCAGATGTTTCTTTGCAGACTCCTTATGAATTTTATGATGAGGTGGCAGGTAACGTTTCCCTCTGATGTCTGTTCCGTGCAGTTTATGCATCGCTGCTGTACAAAGGAAAGGTGCACCGCTGCTCCTGTATCAGCCAAACCTTTCAGCAGCCGTTCGCTTTGCCTGTCGGTCCAACTTTGTCTTGATCTTCTAGGTATCGTCTTGACTTTCCTTTAATTACCACATCTTTGCACGTTGAACAGTGGAATTTTGAAGCTGGAAACACTGATATATTTTTGTTGCATTGTTGTATATATGTGTAGGCATTGTTCAGCTTCATTTCCACACCTGACAGTCAGTTTCTTCTTCCTGTGGATGTTGAGGGGTTTCACAAGTCTGAGAATTTATCAAACTCTGAAATTGAAAGTTCCAAATTTCTATTCTTGACCTGTCTACCAAGTCTTAATGAATCAAGTAAGGCCTCAGGAGTGTTTCACGAGTAGAAGGGTGTCCAAACTTTTTGCATCTCAGCACTTGAAGTGATCAGTGAAGGAAAAGTAGATGAAGAGAAAGACTCTCAGCTGGCTAATGTGTTTTCAAGCAGTGATAACTTTCAGAGAGGCCCGGCCACTAAGTTCTAACTTCATCAGGTTGTTTTTCTGACTTTATAAAATAAAAAGTTACAGTGCATTATCACATCTGTGTCCCTTTGCTGCAGCGCTGGTGTTTACTTCTTCTCACCTCAAGGAAAAATATGCAAACCTGCCCAGCAGTGCCTCCAAAATGTTTGCAGTCAACTGTTTTTGGACAGAAGAAATGTGAAGACGGTGGGATTGAACATAAAAATAAAATCTGTAGCTGAACATCTGAAGCTTGTGCATGTTGCTATGAAGCAAAGAAACCTGATATATTCAAATACTGTTGATTGAAAGCTTGAAAAAGGCGTGCAGTGTGTGTGTGTGTGTGTGTGTGTAGTTTGAATAAACACACAGTTGAACTGAATATGGAGTGTATTGTTACTGTCATGACAGTTTGTGATAAAGGTAACATTAATCCAGATTAATTCAATCATTACTTATACATTGTTTCAAGGGCAAAAAGGATTAGTCACAATTTGCATCATAAATGGGCCAAATAAACAAACAAACGAAAAACAGAACAAAAAGCCGCGCTAAACAAACCTTGAAGTGAAGTCCTTGTCTGCTTCTGTCTGTTTTATGTACACTCTTTATTAATCAATATTTGTTGGCCATAATTACAGCTGCTTCGCCTGTTTCTGAGGTAATGGAGATTAATTAGTGACCTGCAACAAACGCTGTACGCAGAAAGGGCTAATGAGCTCTGCTCTATGCTTTAATTTTAAGTGATATGCCAAGTCATCTGAGAAAGCAGGGAATTAACTGCAGACTCTTTAATTGTATTTTTTTTTTTTTTTTTCTCTGTTTATCTGTGTATGTTATTTAAGACCCCTGGCGGGTCCATCGTTATGGTCAGAGTCTCTCGAGCAGCAGAGCAATGATGAATCAGGTCCAGTCGTGTGAATGGCCTGTCTCAGTGGGACTTTCCATAACTTAAGGTGACCTTCCTCCGATAAAACAAACAGGATGTAGTGTCTCTGTCTGAAATCATGTTGTATATCGGACGCCAGGAGCTGAACGAAGAGGCTTTTACACAAAACTCCATAACGAGTTGTTTATAATTATACTTAATTAGCTTGTTTAATAATGATTCTAGTCATTCTGAGGCTCCATGTTGTATTTCTACCTTCTTCACATTCACCTGCTCTGTAGATTAAAGTAATAGTTAAAGAGGTAGTTTTTCTTTCAACTGCGTCTTTTCACTGGTGGAGGAACCATTCCCAGCTACACACACACACACACACACACACACACACACACTCACACATACACGCACGCACACACTTAATCTGTGCAAATGCAAACTCTTCAGTGAGAAGCAGTGTTGCAAAAATGCAAAATGTTCAAATATAATGGTGAAAAGTAAGTGTATTCACTCAAATACAGAACTTGGAGTATTTTGAGATACTTGTTCTACATTTGAGTGAATCCCACTGTACTTCAGAGGGAGAGATTGTACTTCTCCCTGACAACCGTTGTTACTGGTTACATTTCAAATGCATAATATGTAACTGAACTTTAAAATAACAGCCTCAAAATCATTGTGATGGTACAGTGACTTGTAACAGGGAGAACGGTGCCTGTGCCATCCCCACTCTGTGCCCTGAAAGGCCTGTTCTTGAACTGTGTTGGGCACGATCTCCTGGGAGAAGTGTCTAACTGAGGTTTAGTCAGCAGCTTAAACAGCTCCAATCAAGCCCAGCAGATTCAAGCTAAACACTGAGGAATAGATAAGTTAAAAGAGTGTGAAGTCATTTAAAAACAACAGTGTCCATGTCCAATATTCATCAAGGAGGCTTTTAAAGTAGGCTATCAATACTTACTGTTTGAGTTTGGTGCGTTTGTAACTGTGAACACATCCGGCTCAGAAAGCTGGAGATCATGAATACCTGCTTGGACTCTGCAGAAATTTCCACTGTGCTGAATTAAGTTTACAATGGAAATAAACAAATACAATTCACGACACTATTAAACATTCCTTTGTTCATGTAACTGAGTTGTTTGCAGTTCCACCGAAGAGATATGTCACAATAAAAATACAAAACAACAGCAATACACAATTAACCACCAACGAAACGGACGAGCCGGCTCATATGCAGAACATTAATTGTAACAAGAAGAGAACAATAGAGACGAGGTGGGTTAAGGCAGTGGCATCAGTAGTGTGCATGTGGATGTGTGTGGAGAATGTAGTGCAATGTGTTATGCTGTGAAAAATAAGGTAAAGACTGAACAAAAGCAGTGGCTGGCTGGGGCGGGAGTGGACCGCAATTGTTTAATATTTCACAGCAGAGCAAAGATTAGAGAAAAGAAAAACTCATTTGTGGAGCAGGATTTTTTTTTTTCCCCTCTCCTCCTCTCACATGAATCATCTCGTGCCCCCTCAGATTTACCTGGCGACAGTTTGGAGGGGGTGTAAACCAGCTGAGTGGATATGAAGCAGTGAAAATGAGCTGCACACAGTAAAACTGCTGCTTACACATCACTGTTTACAATCTAATAAAGTCCCATACACAGCGTCAGTGACTGGCTACATTTTACATTAAGTTATTTAATGTTTATGACCGTGAGAACATTTTGCTGATATCACATGAAGTAGGATTTTGAGTCATGGGTTTTTGTTTTTAATATAAGTTTTACTTTCACTAAAGGACATAAATGCACTCACTTCAAATAAAGGCTTCGGTTTTCACTGGCTGCTCATCACATCTCTGGAACATGATGAACGAGGTTGTGGAGATCATGTTTCTGTTTTTGTCTTGATGGTACAGATGTCTGTTTGAAATAATCAAAGCCAGTTTTCTACTAATTATCAGTTGCCATTTGAATGTGTTGTTGGTTTCCAGAAGTGCTGCCTCGGCTCGGATTCACAGGTTGGCCTCTGCCATCAACTCCCTCCTCCTCCTCCTCCCACTAGGGGAAAAATCTGTCATTTACACAATGCAGAATTTAAAAAGGGTCACTGATTTTTTTTAAACATAAAGTATGTGAGAAAAATATAATACTAAATATAAGACGATATGAATCTCTGCTGGAAATGGAAAATGCATTTGAACTGGTGTCTCTCATGGGGTTGTGCGTCTGTTGCGAAAGACACACAACTCTTCAACTCCTAACAGAGATGGGGAGGTGAGATGGACATCTGGGCATGAGGCTGCACAAAATACCAACCCACATACAGACTGTCACTGGCTATATCAACCCAATATTAGCCTAAAAAGCTATTTGACATTTGATATTATGGATAGAATTGTTACTCTGATCATCATTTAACACTGTCCTCCTCTGTCTGCACACATTTGATATAATCTATCCACCTATCTGTCTGCGTGTCTGTGTCTCTGTCTGTCTAATGATAGACGGATGAACTTTTATTTTACAGGGGTGACATGACAGGAAAATAATCGTTTGTCTGTGGAGCTGTTTCACAAATCTCTGCTGCTGTGTGTGTGTGTGTGTGTGTGTGTGTGTGTGTGTGTGTGTGTGCGTACTGGAGCATCTCTTGGCCTTTTCCTGGAGAAAACCAAAAATATGTGATCCAAGTTGTGACAACACTTCCTCCGCCGTAACCCCCCCTCCGCCCCCTCGCTCCTGCCTCCCACCCTCCGCGCCCAGTGGCTCTTCGCCTCCGTGACGTCTCCTCCTCCGGGCTGCCATTGGCCCGTCTCTCCGCCTGTGCCAGTGACTGACATGAGCGGAGCCACAGTCTCCTCCCAGCGGCAGCAGACGCTATTTGAGTGGAGCACTAGCGGGCTGTTGTACACAGAGCCGGGCTTGGTGTCGTCAATGGGAAGCGTGCGAGACAGTGGCAAAGCGAGTTACGGTCTAGAGTGAAATCCGCAGGCTGCACCATGCTCTCCAGGTCCATCCCGTGCGTGTGGATTACAGTTTGCCTTCATCTATGCTGTTACGTTTACAGCGGGGACGCACAGAACGCGAAAGAAGGTAAGTTCCCTAAAGTTTAGGACTCTACTCCATCCCAGCGCGTTTGGAAGACATGCGTCAGAAACGACAAGAGACGTGTCCAAATCCAGAAGACAGTGTCCGCGTTTCCTTTGATTTCATCATTTATATTTGAATCCCAAGTAAATGTAACAAACCACAAATGTGGATGTCTGTTCCGTGCCGGGATGAGGCCGGTGTGCGCGGGGATGACAGCGCTGTGTTGTCTGTTCGCGGGCTGTTTGTCAGCGACCTCTCCGTGTTTTTACGCACCGCAATTAACAGCCGTAGGAACACGGGGGCAGACGCAGGAGCTGCTGTTTTAATTTCACCCCGGTGCCAGCGGTGAGCTGTGGGGATAACTAGCCTGTTGGTTATAGATTAACAATCTATTACTGCAAACCAAGGGAATATCAGCGGATCGATCGCTCCGGCAGCCTGGAAATGAGTGTGCCGCGTCCGAGCTTGGACGCAGTTTCGTGGTGGTTTACTTCCTCCCGGCCAGTCCCGTTCAATGGACGCATAAAATACAGCAAGGCTGACGCTGGGTCGTTAACTGCTTCGGACGCTCAAGTTGGCAAGAAAACAATAAAAACACCGGCGAATTAAAAACTCCAAAAATGACACTTTTGATTAGTCGGATTTTGGCTTAAAAATCAATGTCACGCCATGCGTAAAATCCGAAAAACACGATAAGTATTTTCTCACCAATAAAACTACAGTAGCCTACATTGATAAATATAATGCTAATATTAATAATAGTAAAAATAAGGGAGCGCGGTCAGGATGTGATTGCGGATATGAAGTGAAAAGCCTCGGTGTTAGGGGGGATTCCGCAGACCTCCATATCAGACAGTCACCTGTAAGACATTATTTTTTACGGCGTTGCGTCCTGACTCCTGCACCCCCTCCTCTCTCTCTTTCTCTCTCTCATAATATTACACACAATTAAAGACAACTTCATTTTAAAGCCGCCGCTGCGGTGCCGCTTTGCGCTCTCGCTCGCTTCCAGAACATAAAACAGACTGGTGTTATCCCCCCCCCCCCTCCCCGAAAAAAAATATCTTTAGCTGATTCAAACCGCAGAAACATGCCGCCTGTTAACATAATTTCACTGTAATTTTTATGGCCGCTTTGAGCCGAAAATACACTCGCCCGTGTTCTGCAGCCAGTATGCGCTATGGAAGCAGCTGCTGTGGCGTTAACGCACAGCAACTTCCACGCTTCTCCCTTAAAATGAGTTTTAATAAAACTGTTGCGCAAAATAAACGCACAGTAAGTAGATTCAATTCGAGCAAATCTTGTGCGTAATCCTTTCCACCACATTCCTATACGTGTGTTACGCTTTATTCTTAATTTCTTCTTAATGCGCACTGTCGTTGTCTTTTTTTCCAAAAAGTTCCCTCCGCAGACAGCGCTGCAGTGTTTGTATATTCTTATGTCTTTTTTTTTTTTTTTTGCTTTAGCTGCTACTGCTAGAAATTAGGTCATGCATATATGCGCTATAGATATAGATGTGTGGCCTGTCACTAACACCCAGCCCCGGTGCCCCGGTGAGATTTAACCACCTGCCTCTTGGTTTCCTGTCACTAGTGATTCTGCTGGACTCCAAGGCACAGCAGACAGAACTGGAGTGGATCTCCTATCCTCCCAACGGGGTAAGTTTGCAGAATCTGCACGCCACAGGCACACAGATGTACTCCTTATCTATATTTATATATATATTTCTAGCTTACTCTGATGTCCCACATCAGTTATAGGAATAATAATATTTAAAGAAGGTTTGAAATGAATACATAACATCCCCATATTTCTTTGCTCACAGAATTCCTTCCCTGAGCACGAGATAAAGAATACAGGTGGAAGTTTCTGCCACTAAACTCTCCGGGCTTTTGACATTCAGAGCACAGAGGCCTGAAGCAAAGCGCTTCCAACCTGCTAGTCTGATTAAAAGCAGGCTGGGAGAAACTTTTTAAATAAATGATGTGTGCAGAGGAAGATAAACTGAGCACAGTCGTCCTCTGAAGATGTGTTTGTGTGATAAAGATGCGACCACTAATCTCCCTTAATTCACTGCAGTGTATTGTATAGAGCACTGCCTGAAATGACTGTATTTCATATACCTTTGTCATTTTCATTGCGGAGTAATCATCTCCCGTTGGGTTTGATTGCTGATCATTAGACTTTTATGCTATGATGGATAGACGTCTCTTACGTTTGAATGCAACATGGTGAAGCCTGCTGATGGATGTATTCATCAAATTGTATGTTTTCTTCTCACAGTGGGAAGAAATCAGCGGCTTGGATGAGAACTACACACCTATTCGCACGTACCAGGTTTGCCAAGTCATGGAGCCCAATCAGAATAACTGGCTTCGGACTAACTGGATAGAGAAGGGCGATGCTCAGAGAATTTTTGTAGAACTGAAGTTCACCCTGAGGGATTGTAACAGCTTACCCGGTGTGGTGGGCACTTGCAAGGAGACGTTCAACTTGTATTACCAGGAAACGGATTCAGAAGTGGGCAGGAGCTTACGGGAGAACCAGTACGTCAAAATTGATACGATCGCTGCAGACGAAAGCTTCACACAGGGTGACCTGGGCGAGAGGAAGATGAAGCTGAACACAGAGGTGCGCATAATCGGCCCCCTGTCCAGGCGGGGCTTCTACCTGGCCTTCCAGGATGTAGGGGCGTGCATCGCCCTGGTGTCTGTCAAAGTTTACTACAAGAAGTGTTGGTCTATCATCGAGAACCTGGCCACATTCCCCGACACCGTGACGGGATCAGAGTTTTCCTCACTGGTGGAGGTCGAGGGCATGTGCGTGAGCGACGCCGAGGAGGAGGCCGACAACTCTCCCAAGATGCACTGCAGCGCCGAGGGGGAATGGCTGGTGCCCATTGGGAAATGTATTTGCAAGGCTGGATTTCATCAGAAGGGAGATGCGTGTGAACGTGAGTGCCTTTTTATTTGCATGATCAGAAAGGAACATATTTTTAGTAGTACTTTAATTTACTCATTAGCATTCCCAGAGTTGTTTTTCGTGCTGAATTAACTTCTGGCAATCTGTCAGGGGATTCCTGGATTTCACACAACAACAACAAAAAAAACAGGCGAGTTTGTACGATTTGATAATGCAAAGCAGGGAAATGACAGTAAAGGCAAAGCTGACTGAATAGATGTGTTGGCAAATGGGATTAAAGAAGCTGATGTGACAGCAGTAAAGATGGATAAGTATTCAGGACAAACATCCTGATTATTATAATTGGAATCCGTGATAATTGATTACGAGGCTCTTAATTTATAGCCATGATTCTGTTGACACTGGGATTAAATAATAACTGGAGTTTAGCTGCTTGGCGCAAACACTGCTCTGTTTCTTACTGGCAGGGGGCCAAGACAATCACTAGCAGAATACACTGGTCCTGAGGACGTCCAGCCGGCCAGTCAGTCAGTATCTGACTGCCCCAGCCAAATGACCAGGACAGGGAGGGGAACAAATAGTTGCCGTGCTTTGGCATTTAGGCCTCAGGATATTTATGAAGGAGCCTAACAGGAAGGTCAAACGCAGCCTCGCCGTGGCTCATTTATACGACGTTGTGTAGCTGTTTTGTGCAACTGCCACTAACAATAACATGCTTTCTGTCACTCTGAACGCTCAGAGGATTATTTTTTAGTGGCCACCTGATTTCAAAGATAAAAATCACTATGGATTAAAAGGAGGTGACTTAGGTCACAGAACTTAAGTGGCCTGCCTTGTCAGCGAAGCAAAGCTGTTTTTTTTTTTTTTTTTTTTGCTGCAAAGAGGGCAGCCTCATTCTAAGCAGCTTATAGGGAGCAGCAGCCAGTAATAATTGAACGGAATGCGTCTAAGAACAAATTAGTGTCCCTGGCAGACAAGCTTTTATGCCACGCTGTCTTCCATTAGAGACCTCTCTGAGGGAGGTGTGTTAATGAAATATATTAGGCCATGTAATTTAGAGCAACACAGCCCACCTCAAGTTGTGCTATGTCTCCGGTGTTAGCATGCTATCGCTGATTTAACCCCATGGAGCTGCTTTATTGTTCTTGTTGTTTTAATATGCATAGATGTAAGATCCAGTTGTGCCCCTAGGTGGAAAGAAAGCCCCGTGATTTATTTCCACAGGGAGACTGATGCAGTGTAACAGCAAACAGCTCCGGCTTGTCAAAGTAATTTTAACTACCTTTTCTAATTATGTCTTAATGCAAAACCCTCAGAACAGAAGACTGTTGCGTGTCTCTATTAACTAATCAGTTCACGTGTCAATTAAAACAAATGCCTGCAGATATAATGATCCTACCTTTCTGTTGTTTAAAGCCTGAGGAACATGGTTCCTTTATGTGTATGTGGATGAAGTTCCGGTCTTGATGCTGCACCTTTATGAGCTTTATCTCCACTGAGGCATGAGAAGCCTTTGTATTAAGGGGTAGTTAATCTAAATAAAATGAGAATCACGGTGCACCATCAGCACTTCTTCCAGCAGCTCCACTGACATTAAATTGTCCATTCAGTAGTTTCTCCCAGAACAATCTAAAAGCTATTCAGACTATATCTACCAGCTGAACAGCAGAGCAATAAGTCCAAGTGGCTGTGACCATTAAAAATGTGAGATCCACGCTTTTGGACAATGGGCTGACTTGTCTCAGTGCTGTAAAAGCCCATCATCTTTCAGCTAAGGGGATTTTGTCTAATGGCATGTCATGGTGCATGATGCCGCACCTTCACTGTAGAGGGTTCAGCCTGCTTCCAACAAACCAGGCTGTACAAAGTGTCGTCCAAACATGTCTGAAGGCAAAGATATTTATACTGATTCCGAATGGTCAAACTGGGAAGAATAATGATAAACACTTTTCAAAAGGATTTGTGTTGTTGCACTAAAAAGGAAGAGGTTTAGTTTTGTGACAAAAAAAAAAAAAAAACGATCGAAAAATCCCAGCTGATTCTCACACCCAGCCACCTGGCAACGGCTGCGTGAAATGGACATGCTTGTTGGATTGTTGGTTTCAGGAAGTAACAAATATTTTCCCTAATCCCCTGATTCCGATGCTGGAATGAGGATTTTAGATCCTGTTAGAGGATCCGACAGGCACTTTGTTTGAAGCATACAGTACTGCGGCTTTTAGGGATTAGTGCCACATTCGTTTAACTTTTCAAACAAATTTTCTGTTGCAGTGTTCTCCACGACCTCATGTATAAAAACAACTTTCCAGATGGAGGCAGAATGTAGCCTCACTAGTTCATGATATCCAAAAAGTTTACTTGAAATGCAGTTCAGCAAATTTGATAAACGACTCCACTAGACAGTCCTTAACCAGCCCATTATTTATTGTTGGCAGTTTGCTGTGGTTGTTAAAATGGTCACCAAATGAAATATTCAGAGGGTGGGTGGAGGTGGAGTAAGCATGTAGATGTGTCTGTCATGACATTTGAGGAGCTGCCTATGAGGATGCAAAGGCCTCCTCTGAAATGTGTTGTGATCCACTCATTCATCACCGTCAACGAAGAGGGACCCCTTGTCTTTCACCCCTATGCCCCTCACTCCCCCTGTCCCCCTTTAACTCTTTGTGTGGCAATCTGTGGCAGTAAATGTCACTCATCCTCTCTGCCTGCTGTGTTCGGCGGGCCTCAGCGCAATGGGTGCTGAAAAAGGCCAGTTGAAGTGTCCCCGCATTCTGCGCAGGCTTCATTTTGCGAAGAAGTGCGTGTTGTGAAAATAGTGTCCATTCATTCGCTGGTCCTGTTTAGCGCTGGCCACTGGTTGCAATGGAGCCACAGAGTCGTTAAGACAGAGAGAGGGCCCTTGTGGGAGGACACTGGTCTCTTTGTGCCGCTCAATCCCGGGAATGTATGTTGTCCGATTTTTGACACATCAGAGCATTGTGGTGCTAAATAACCAGTGCCTGTGACATGATTAACTATTGACCCTCACCCCAAAAAAGGGAGAGGCCTGTGTCCAGGGTGGAAAACAGATAAAACAGGCCAAATCGTGCAGCTATCATTGCATGCTAACAAGAAAATTAATGAGAGGATACAGCATCCTGTAGAAGCTGGCACCATCCATCTTGGCTGTCAGGGAGCTGGACAGAAGTTAGTTGGAGACTGATTGATGATCGAGCCCCCGAAGGGAAGGGGCCGGGCAGTAAGGGTCTGACTGTGGCAGCTAACGTGCTTGGAAGCCACCAGGCGGCTACCAGGCCCAGCGGCGGGCTGGAGACAGAAAGCTGAATTTAGCATTTCAAATGAAGCCAGGAGTCAGGAGGTCCTCATACATCCTGACGCTCCCTTGATTGATAAGGTGTGAATTTAATACACCAAATGGCTGTCTTTTACAACAGCTCCAGAGCTCAATTATGCAAATGACAGGTGTGCACGGAATCCACAGGAGACCCAAATGGACTTAAATCAGTCAAGACTGAAATAAAGTGTTGATGAATGGGAGCTCTTCCTGTCACTGCCAGTGTCTGCTTCCTGTGAATGGTAGCATTCTTCCACAGCCCACGGCTTTTCCTCCTTGTTGTCTTGGCCTGGCAGGTAGCAGTCGGGCACAAAGATGAGCCATTCTCTGCTCAGGATGTTGCTACCAATGCAGCTGACAGGCTCCTGAAATTGATCGCTCAGGGGAGGACTTGAGACATGAGATTGGGAGGGACTGAAATGCTTAGTGCGAAGATGATTAATGGATTGATCGTTTAAGTCATTCGTCTAAGTAAAATGCCAAACACTCACTGGTTCCTGTGTCTCAACAGTAGGATTTACTGCTCTTCTCTCTTGTTTTATTGGAACTGGAATATCTTTGGAATATCAGGTGGCCAGACAAAACACATTTCATATTTGATAACATCACCTTAGGCTTCTTATAGTCTGAGATAACATCTTCAGATGTCTTGTTTTGCCCAACCACTAGTCCAAACCCGGCAGATATTAAATATATTATCACAGAAATCCAAGAAAAAACTTTGCACTTGATTGTCTGGTACCTGTCTTTTTTCTTATTTTAAAATTACTTGAATTATCAAATGATTAACAAAGATGTTACAGAATAAGTTAACCAAGTAATTAGCTTAACTTAATATATATTGTGTATATATATATATATATATATATATATTGCTTATATTTGAACATGCTACAATTGTTTTTAAAAAATAGGGTTCCAACTTTTTAATTTTTATGTTATATTTCTGCATTTCACAATTGAGCTTATCTCTTTACTTCCTCCAATCACCTTTTGTAGTTATTTCCTGGATTGAAAGAGTTTTAGTATCAGACCTGCCCCCCAACAAACTGTCAAAAATAATAATTATACTACTACTACTAATAATAATGATTGCATGATAGGTTTCTGCTGGAGAGAACAATTGCTGTTGAAATTACAAAAAAATTGGGCCAATCAGAAGGGGGTTACATTTCAATGGAAGTACCACTGAGATCAGATGCAGACTTTTCTTCATGAGTGTAAGATTATTACTGTATTCCTGTGCAGATCCTTTGCTCTATCTGGTTCCCTCTCATTAGTGGAGACTAAACCACAGCTGCTCCCTCGGAGGATGAAGAGAAAGGCACAATGTTTGAAATCGTGATTTGGCAAGCTGCGAGGATGAACATTTATTTTACTTCCACATCCAATGACCCGATTCAAACATACACATCCATATAGGAGGCAAAAAGCAAGAAGTTGTTTCTCGGGATACGCTCACTTGAACTGGTGCCAGCAGTGCTTTCTGCGGGATCCAGCTGCCCTGTCAACACGTCAAATTAAGTACAAATAGCTCATTTTGCTTAAGAAAAACATGCACTGGGAGGCTCATTCACAAAGCCGTTGGGTTTGGTGAATATTTGTCTCAAAGTTATACTCATAGGAACTTCACTTATTCACATGGTGAAGCAAAGGAAACAAAAGGCCTGTCATTGCTAATTATTTGCTCTCGCTGG